CTCTCTCTCTCTCTGTGTCGCGCGCGCCGCTGTTGTCAGAGTGCCTGATGTGGTGTGACTCAAACTCGACCCGCACTCTCTGCGCGCCCACCAGATCGGCACCTCGATGCGCTGACCGAAAGCGGCCGATTTCAGGGCAGAAAATGAAAAGGAAAAAGAAAAGAAAAGAAAAAAATTCCGGGTTGGATGTGCTCAGCGCGGCGGCTCAGGGCGCGGCCCTCAGGCAATCAACACGGAAACTGCATAACCTCGACTTACAGAAAAGACGCACGCGGGTTCATGAGCAGAGCGAGACAGAGCAGAGAGCGAGGTGTTTGGTTCGCAACAATTGAATGATTGAATGATGCGCAGTCCCTCGAGTGGCGGCGGGTGCCTGCAGACCAACACTTCGCCCTCGCATCGCAGCCATGCCTGCCTGCTGAGAGCGGCGGTAATGGCTCCCGAAATCCATCCGTCCGTCCGTCCATCCATCCATCCGAAAGCAGACGTCCGTCCACCCTCTCCCTCTCTCTCTCTCGCCCTCCGCTCGCCCTCGGTCTGAGCCACAGACACAGACGCGCTCCACAGTCGCAGCCGCCCTTTGGCACATTCCCACGCCCTCTTCCGTCATACGTCGGGCTCCTTCGCGCTCCATCCCTCGCTCTCGCTCTTGCTCTCTCCCTCTCATTCCTTGGTCTCGTCGGATCTTCCATAATCGCTCCTTGGCCTCGTCGCTCCGTCACACTCCCACCTCACCATCGGCGAATCCGTCTGGCTCCAACACTCGAGCCCATCCAGTCGACCCGCACACGCCAGTCCGCACCGTCGCTTGCCCTTCTCGGCTGCTTCCACATCACTCCCCTCGTCGGCTCGTCCGTGGCCCGCGCCTCGAGCACACCATCGGAACAGCACCGCCACTCGGGCCCACGCCGCCATCATCCCAAAATATGACTCGTCCGAGCGCCGCAGCACCCGACGCTCGTGATGGTGCAGCTGGCTCGGCTGGCTCAGCTGGCGCTGCTGCCTCCGCCGCTGTCGCCAAATCCGACGATCCGCAGTCCAGCGGGCCAGACCAGCAGCCTTCGTCGTCCCAATCCGCCCCCCTCTCCACCCCACCGCCCGCTGCCAACGCCGACCTGCCAACGCCACCCACCTCCCACAACGAGTTCAGACCCCCGCCAAACCCAGTAGCATCCTCCTCCAGGCTCAATCAGGACGACCAGCTGCCCGATGCCAGCCCTATCACCACCACCGCCTCCGAAAACATGGCCCCGCGCAGGGCCGCAGCTCGTCTCAGCGGTGGCAGCTCCTCCTTCGATCACAATGCCGCCGCCGCCGACGACTCCTTCTCCTCCTCGCAGCGAAGAGCCAGCAGGCGCTCCAGCATCGACCGCAACGACGATCGCTCCTTTGCTGCAGAACGTCCACTCGGCAGAGGCTCCTACCGTTCCCGCGCAACGCCCTCCCCTTCCCGCTCGCCCGCACGCTCCCTCACCCCATCGCCCATCCTCGGACCCGTCTTTGCAGACCTCCCTCGATCCCTCCGTGCCGACCGTGCCGACCGTGACGACGACCACGACGATTACGACGACGAGCACGACGCTCTCAAGCTTGGACACCTCTCCTTCCCCATGCTCGGCGTCGGCGTCGGTCCCACCAAGGATGAAATCGAACTGCTCGTCTACGGCACCAACGCCGCCAACAAGCACCTCGCAGAGCCTCCTTCCCCCACCGAAGACTCCGCCAGCATCGAGACCATGCTCACCTCCCTCGCCAACATGGGCCTCGATCCTCTGCCCCAATCCTCGGCCAGCGACAGGGAGCGCGAGCTCGCAGGCATGGTCAAGAGGCTCGCTGAGCGCTGCACCACCCTCTCCGACTCGCGCAATCGCGCCCAGTCCCAGCTCAAGTCGACTCGCCTCACCGCCCTCTCCGTCATCTCGTCCATGAAGCAGGCCCATGCACACGCCCTCGCCGCACATCGCAACACCACCGACCGCCTCGACGCAGAGCTAGACGGTTGGAAGGCGCAGGCAAAGATGCTCAGCGCACTCCTCACCCGCGCAGAAGCACGCGGCTTCGACGAAAGGCGCTCCGCGCCCAACTCGGCCTCCCTCGTCACCTTTGCCGACAGAGCCAAGGCTGCCGCTCCCAACTCCTCGCCACACCACAACCGCCTCGCCTCCTTCAAGTCGGATGCCGCTGCCACTTCCAACGCAGACTCGGCACAACGCATCCTTGGCAGCCCCAGCCTCCTCTCGTCTTCCCACGAGGCGGCGGCAGCAGCAGTCACCGCCTCCCCCGGCACCACCGGCCTCGGCATCACAAGCACCGGCCTCGCCGAAGTCGACACCGACCTCTCCCCCGCCGCATCCCTCCTGCGCGAGAGGAACAAGCTGCTCACCGACAAGAAGCATCTCAAGGCGCGCGTGCGTGACGCAGAAGCCCAGGTCTACAAGCTGGAAAACGAGCTCAAGGCTCTCAGGCCCTACCTCGTATCTGGTGGCATCAAGTCCACCGACCTGCCCGCGCTCGCCTCCAACCCAGACTCGGCCGCCGCCGCCGTCGTCGCCACGCCTGGCGACATCAGCCAGCCCGGCACCGCTCCCACCACGCCCAGCCGCTCCGGCAGTCGCCGCGATAAGAACCGCAAGAAGCGCATCGTCACCATGGGCGATGCCGAGACCGAGCATCTCATGCTTGCGGCTC